AATCCAGTGCATATGCTCATAGTTACATTTTTAAATCCTTGTATAGATCTACCAAACCCCCTTCTGATTTCCTCCAGGCATTGGTGGCCCTGGTCCAGCAAATCATGTACATTTATCTTAATTATTTGTACTGTAATTGTTCCCGGGGGTCCTATTCTTGCTAGGTGCTGTACAAGCAGAACAAAAAGATGGTCCCTGCACCAAAAAGCTAGCCTTCAACTTAGCTCGATATTGGTGGGACTAAAGTTAAATAGATGCTTACCCACTTTGCTGGATCCTGGCTTGTCTCATTGGCAAATGTCAGTGTTTCAACCCCTCCCTTTGAGACGCTAAAACGATTTTTATTTTTAATTAAAAAAACCAAACAAACCCTTTCCCCTACTTCTTCCATTCTTGAATCTGTTCTCGAAATTTCCAGGAAGAGCTCACACACACTCTGGCTGAGAGCTGCCATGCCACATTCAGCAGAAAAGGCAACACATGGAGAAAGTTATACGCAGCTAACTCAGTTGATGCTTTGGAATGGAAAGTCTTAGGCAGTCTTAATGCCTGGTGTCATTCTGTGTGTCATATCAAATAAACGTGTTGCTTTGGCATCAAATTTGTGTTGCTTCAGGGCTACCCTGCTGATTCCGCCAAACCTGCTCTTTGCCTCTGGAGTCACAAATGAAATTCAGCTGTGGGGAAACTGGACTTGTTCTAATGCAAACCGGGGGCGGGGGGCATTCTCCCTGGCCGCTGTGTGAAACCACCCGAAGGAAGGGGCATGTCAGCCCTTCAGGGATCTCCCTAGGGTGCAGGCTGCAGGGCTCGGAATTTCCCAGGAATTCATCCTCTTGGGGGCAGGGGAACTAACAGAGGGTATGTCTACACTACCCTCCTAGTTCGAAATAGGAGGGTAATGTAGGCATACCGCAATTGCAAATGAAGCCCGGGATTTGAATTTCCTGGGCTTCATTTGCATAAGCCGGGCGCCGCCATTTTTAAATCCCGGCTGCTTCGAACCCCGTGCCGTGCGGCTACACGTAGCACGAACTAGGTAGTTCGGACTAGGCTTCCTATTCCGAACTACCGTTACTCCTCGTTTCATGAAGTACCTAGTCCATGCCACGTGTAGCTGCGCGGCACAGAGTCTGCGCTAGCGGACATTTAAAAATGGCAGCGCCCGGAGAGATGCAAATGAAGCCCGGGAAATTCAAATCCCGGGCTTCATTTGCAACTCCGGTTGCCTACATTACCACCCTAGTTCGAACTAGGGTGGTAGTGTAGACATACCCTATCTCTCCTTCTCACTTGGGAGGCAGGGTAGTGAGGGATTTGTTTGTTTTTGCGTCTCACTTGTGTATGGCCCCCAATTGATTCTGATGTGGCCCCAGCCCCAAAAAGATTCCCCTCTCCTGCTATAGAGAGAGATGCAACAGATCAACAGGTAGCTCCCATGCAGCTACCTACCATTTGACTAGCTAGTGCAGGGCATAGCAGGGCATGTTTTGCCCTTTTATTCCTCTGGCACTGGTATGCAAAATGAACCACAATCTGGCCTCTACTTTCAGCAACTTTTGAGTGTTGCACGCAGAGCTAAAATTGAATTTATGCAACAACAAAAACTAAAGGTCTTTATATAACTATTTATTTTCCCCCCTCCCCCACGTCCTTTTATTAGCAAACAGCTAGTACAGGCAGTCCCCGGGTTACGTACAAGATAGGGACTGTAGGTTTGTTCTTAAGTTGAATTTGTATGTAAGTCGGAACTGGCTCCAGATT